AATATTTTTGGATTCATAATTTAAATACAATTATTTAAAAACATTGTATTTCAATAAAACAAATCAAAATTTGGGATTGTATAGYWWAGATGCATAATTAACCTTTGATTGTCATTGAAATATTATAAACTCCCTGTTAGAAACTCAGATATCAGTGTCAATATGTTATCTGATTTGGGCATTATAAAGGATACAGAAAAACTGTTTAAAAAACTTACTTCGCCAACTCAAAAATTACCAAAAAATATTGGAAACATGTACACAGCATCTATATTTAGTGGACTAATTTCCTACTTACTTAGGTAATGATACATAATAGGACTTTGATTGATTTTTAACAATTTTACCATAAAATGGACATAGGTGATATTACTGTAATTGATATATTAAATAAATTGAATTACAGTAAATCTACCAATGAAATGGCTGGGAAACGAATAGCAATGTTTTCATTTGGTTCTGGAATGTGTTCTTCATTTTATTCAATTACTATACGCCCAGGAGCAAAACTAGAATCCCTTATTAATTTATTGCAACATATTCCTGTGATGTTGGAAAATAGACAATGCACATCGACTGTTGAATTTGAAAATACACTAACAAACCGAGAGTTAGCTTACAACAAAGGTAGTATATCTATTAAAATTCTAAAAAATTATTACTCATTTTTATCATTTCATAAAGATACCTGAATAATAGTAATATTTTTTTCATGACTATAGTCTATAAATTAAATTATTTTTATTTGTTTGTAGCACCTTTTGAACCTACTTCAAATGTTGACAATTTGTTTCCAGATTCGTGGTACTTGACGCATATCGATAGTAGTTTTAAACGATATTATGCACGAAAGAAATAAGAAACTATGTTTAGAAGTACCAGATATTTTTAATGTCCTTACATGATAAATTACTTATGTATTTAATATTGGTTCAAACAATTTTTTTTGTTATCTTCAATTCTTTTTAAATTGTTAATGAGCTCTTGTATTTCATTGGCAGAATATTTCTGAAAAATGATTAAATTTAAAAAAAAATGTTAACTGTAAATTTAATTAGTAGAAAAATAGTTTTTAAGAGTGAAATATAAATAACAAAATTAATTAATTTTGTTTTGATTTGTAGGTATTTAAATGACCAGAAATATTGACATGATAAACTCAACTATCATAAATTAACAGGTCTTACTTATAAAATATGAATTGTAACATAGCAAAACATTAAGTTAATGCTTTTAGATACAAATTTAAATATGTAAACACTATAATAGTTACTTTAGAAAACTGAAGAAGTTGCTCTGCTATATTATATATTTTGTTCCACGAGAGAACAGCGTGTTCTAACCCAGCGTGGGTCTGTGCATCTTTCAGCTATCTGAACTTGTAACCCCCGGCAGAGTGTCGCATGAGGATGTACAGAAAAACTAATTTTAATCAAGCTGCAATGTGTTCTCTCTTGGAACAGTGTACTGTAAATTATGAGTTTACCTCCATTGTGCAACACATAAATATCAATACCCAGTCACTGTGAACAGTGTGTCAGCTTCTATGTCTGAGAATATTTAATAAATTCTTTATATTACTATACTTAATAGGTATAGAACGGATTTATATGCCCTAAAAAACCCTGAAATATGATCTTTAAAATATCCAAGTATACATTGAAAATACCATAAATATGCACTTAAAAATGTTGATGCATTTATTTAAAAAAAAATCATTAAATATGCTTTTATAACACAAATATGCTTTAAAATTTATATTTATTATTATTTATTTAATAAATAAGTACAGAAATATATGAAAATAAAAAAAAAATAATTAAAAGTTAAAAATGTACTTATAAATATATATATATATATAATTTTTTTTAACGATAGTCAATGGAGGTAATAAAATATTAGCAATTTTTGTTGATAAGAGAAGATAGGACTGACAATGTAAAATTTTTTTTATTACCTATTTTTATTTCTATAGAAGAAAAAAAAAATTTTAATTGTTATATTTGTGATAATATATTAATAATATGACCTATAATCAAAATATTATAGTATGAATTTACTAATAAAAATTCTCAAATATGCATAAATAAATTAGTGCATTTTAAATCACCAGTATGTGAAACAGATTTCTATCTCGTTTATCAATCTTTTAGACTAACCAAAAAAATTTGCAAAATGTATATAAATCCGTTCCTTAATAATAAGGTTAGGTTAATACGGTAAATTGATCTAATTTTCACCAAAAACATTTTGTTTAAAACAGTTTACCTCAAAATTATATCAAAATAAGAATAAGTTATGTTACCCAGCAAAAAATTACTCAAGTTTCTCCACAGTTTCAATCAAGATTGATTATAATATGAAATTTGTAGCTAGATAATATAGAACTGTTATTATTATAAATTTCAAAAGCTTTATTTGCTCCAACTTAGTTGATTTKAATAAATAAAATCTTTAACTGATTTAAAAAAAATCAAAAAAGTCATGTCTAATAGTCAGCCAAAATAATTTGTTAATATAAAATATATTAGTATTCAATGTTATTGTGCATGGTTTAATGAAAATATTCTTTTTTAACACAAATTAATGAAGAAAAACAATGAAATTAAGTTTATCACTTAAGTAATGAATTAAATTTTCAAGGTTTTTGATCCAACAAATAATTTTTATATTCTGTGATAATAGATAAAAAAATTTTAAAATTAAAAATGTCAAGCATTTTATTCTAATTAGAATACGTCAAATTTATAGTTGACTTAGCTTTGTTCTGATATAAAAAAAGAGCAAATGCCTACATAATTCAAATTCTAGTTATGATTATCTAACAAACATCATATCATGATTTTTGAAATAAATATTTGTAATTCATACAACATTATAAATGTATTCTTTTAGTTATTTAGTTGAGAAATCAGTGCTGCAGTCATGCTGAGGTCAGTTCATCACACCAGGGTTCCACAGTTCAGGCATAAATAGTAAATAAAAGAGATTCTACATAAATATATGTATTTCCTTAATATTGTAAAACTGATACAATTTACCGAAAATATATGTATTATTATTTTGTTGTTATCAAAAAATGTTCATATTGTAGAAACTTACAACATTCTACTATTACTTAAATTATTACTTTCAAAATATTTGTGCTAATCTTATGTTATTTATTAGTTCCAACTTTTTAAAATTTGTTTTATTATTAGTATTGATAAAAATGTTTAGACTTGGTAAAGATAAAACGCTTGAAAATGTAATACAAAATCATAAATATGTTGTTTTAATTTTAATTTGAAAATATTAGAAATATAATATTGGCATTCTTTAGTTAATAATGTATAACATTTTGAATTTGTTTAGCTGAAACTTGACAATTCTATACAATGTTTTCCATACATTCTTCATAAAATTAAAAAATTTCAAAAACAAATGCACAATTTAATGAATAAACATTTTAAGTTAAAAGTTTTACAGAATTGGATGTTCAAATAAAAAACAATGATTTTAGTTATTCTGCTGCTATTAAAAAAATGATGTTTATTGTAGGAATTTCAAACTTTTTTCTATTACATATACTTTTCTATACAGTATACAAAATGAAATTTTCAAAAATATTTAGTATAATTTTAAGGTATACCGTGAACCTATTCTCACACCGTTCAATAGTACAAGGGCATTGATTAACAAGTGAATTTGGAAGTTAAGGCAATAAAAATAAATTTTAAACGTCTATAATATGAACATTAATTATAGCCAGTGGCGGATTTAGCGTCGGGCAAAGTAGGCAGTTGCCTAGGGCGGCAATTTTAGGCCAATATTTTATTGAAAATATACTCTAGGTTTCTTTTTGATTTTCTTATGTATGGTGATTACTTTGAAGGATGGAAAATGAAAATGTTTAATATTTGTATAACATAATATTCTTGTTAATATAAWTTCTTCATTATTTTATAATACTAATACATAACAATAAACGTCCAAGTAAATAATCGAACGACTGCCGGAACATATATTATCTAAATACTAACCATAGATAACATATTTCATTATTTTGTTTTTTACTAAGTCGTAATGGGGCGGCAAAAAAAAATTTGTTTAGGGGCGGCAATTGTGTAAATCAGTCTCTGATTATAGCAAACTTCTTAATGATGAGATACACTTAACACACTATACAGCAGAAMAACTTCCCCAGGCTCAATTCTTTAAAGCTAGAGTGCTGTGAAATAGGCTTGAACTTGTAAAAATGTCAAATATTTATTTGATCGATATTGTGATAATTAATACCACAATATAAGCATTATAAACGCATTGATATTATTAATATTATACAGGATGTCCCACAGAGATCTGACATTCTGACAAATGAAATRACTTTTGTTCTAATCAATATTTTAAAAAAATTTCTTTTAAATATAATTCATAGACACTTGCGCTATATTTTTAGAATACATTTTTTATTTTTTAATACTGAAAATAAAAAACTTAAAAATTGATAAAATTTTTTTCTCCAAATATTCAATATTCAATATAGCCAATTTGTAAATCTGATTCTTATAAAATATTTTTTAAAAACTTTATTATTATTTGAAATTACAAGGCTTCTAACATAAACTAGATCGTAATTTACTTAACGAAAATATTGATATTTAAAATTTTTTTAAAAAATCAGCCATTTGACTTAAATAAGTGTTTTTACCATATAAATTTTTCTAAAAATCAGATTTACAAATTGGCTATATTGAATATTTCGAAAACATTTTTTAATCAATTTTTAAGTTTTTTATTTTCAGTATTAAAAAATAAAAAATGTAGCGCAAGTGTCTATGGATTATATTTAAAAGAAATTTTTAAAAAATATTTATTAGAACAAAAGTTATTATACTTGGTCCGGCGAGAGAACGCACCTCGGTGGCGACCAAAACTCGTCGGATCTCGCGCATTCCCACCACTAACCAGCCCGAGCATCGTCCATCGTACGCGGTCGTCGTCACCTCCGACTTCGCCGGTCGTGAAAAGGCGCTGCGGTGCTCACCACTGGTCGCCGCGTGGTGGGAGAAATTCACATCGAGACGGCGGAGCTCCGTCATTTGGATGCGCAAATGAGGTGCGTTCTCTGTCAGAAATTCAGATCTCTGTGGGACACCCTGAATAAAACAGTAGATAACTTACAGATTTTTTTGGTAATACTCTTGGTTTTATTTCTTTTCTTATTAAATTATCTTCAGAAGCCAGTTTTTTCTGAAAAATAATTATCATGCATTATATTATGATACTAWAACAAATATTGTGTGATCTATTGACTACCTAGAGTATAATTATCCGTAAACTTATATTTGTAATTTTACCAAAAATACCAATTTAAATCTAACATTTTCTGTACGTATTATTTATTTTATTGTTAGTCTTTCACAATTTATGARAATCTTAAATTTTTGCTATKTAAAATCATAAAGAATAGATAAGACAACCAAAATTAAACAAATAGTTAGAAACTACACATAACAGCAGCATAGCAAAAATAAAGCAGTAGCTATAACACATTACAGTTATATAGCCTATTTCGACAATAATTGTGCATGCATACCAATATTAAATAAACATCTGTATATAACTAAACCTTATTTATAAAGTCACATAATTTACTTTCTAATGTTTAAATATAACAAAGAACTAGTCTACCAAATAACTATATCTTCAAATACAATATTAAAGTAAAATATGTCAACATTTACCTATCCAACAAAATACTATTTACTATTTAATCCGTAAAATATAATAATAATTAATTTACCTGTGTAATAAAATCATTGGGGTTTAAATTATGTCTAATGATTCCTGTATCTTGATCAATAGAAAAAGTATTTGATAATGAGTAATTTTCATTGATATTTAATAAAATATTTTCTAGTTTTAATACGTGATCTTCTAATGATTTTAGTTTTTCATAAATATCAATGTAACTATGACCATCACTTTTAATATTTAAAACTGTTTCTATGTTTGATATTCTTTCATAAATATCTGGTTTTAATCCAACAGAATTTATATTATTATTTGATAAATTGTAACTGTTTATGCTAGCTGGATCCAAACCCCCATTATTCAGTGGTCCTAAATTATTATACACTTTTGTTTCTGAAAAAAAAAATTTAATTTATATCAAATAAAAAGGGTATAAAAAATTTTATACTTTTTACAAAGCATTCAGAGCCTTTCTGACGCTTAGCTTCTATTGTATCACATGTTCTAGAAGCACTAGAATAATTCCTGCTAGATATTGGAGTACAATACATTCTGGTATTTCTATCATGATTTTCATCTCTCTTTCTCTTTAAGAAGTTTTCAATCCTATTGTTGACCTATAATAAAATATAATGATTTTAAGTTAACGAATACAATTTTTGAATTGTTTACTATTATAATACTAATGGTTGTGTGAAAGTAAAACTAACCGCAGCTTTAGGTTTATTTATTTGAATCTCTTCAGAATCAAATGTTATTTCATTGCCGTTCTCCATAGTTTTCAATTCAGTAGGCTGTACTTATAAATCTATAGACTTTATGCACTAATGTATYCTATATCCTTTAAGTTGATATTACTTCAAAGTAATATTATTATGATCGTACTTAAATCTTATATCGAAATTGTATTTYTAAACTTTAACGTAATGTATAAATATAAAAAGATAAATACCTATTAAATACTACATAGTCAATAGTCATGCTTATGGCAAATAATGCACACTGTCAAAATTATCTGTATCCAGTATTAAAAAATTTACAAATTAAATTTGTAATCAATATTTACATGTATGTACGTATGCGGAGTGCGGAGATTCTAAGGTTAATTTACGAGTATGAAGTTAGCTTCGATTGACATAGCCGTTGATAAGAATGTGTACAATCATGGCTTGCCTACACGAGCATTCGGCACAAAATATTAATTATTAATTTATTACGTACTCGTAAGGCGAAAAGTGAGCCACGATCGTTGCGCCAAGCAGCGGTTTTTCATTAGGGCTACTCATACAACCCATACAAGAGTCCAACTGTATAACGAAATTCGAATGACTAACCGAACGRTGGAATGACTGGAAAGTGGAATACAACTACAGCTGCAGCTGTATGAAAAGAAATTGGTCTCCAAAATAAGATTTTTTTCTATAAATATATTTTGTTCTATGATACAATTGTCCCAAACAAGATTCAAAATTTCTATACGAATTTATACTATTTATACCAAAACACACTACATAGATGGTGTTGTATATTAAAATATATTATTATAACAAATTAATTAATGGACACCATCTATTAGCTTTCTATGGATTCATTAAATGTTTAACGCAACCCAGCATGCACAAAATTATTCTAATACTTCATTCAATATATTAGGTATCGTTATTATTGCAATATAATAAAATAAATATGTTTTAATAATATTATAATAATTATGATGGACCTTCGAGTAGTCAGTTGCCACGATGTGACGTCCAAACATCGCAGATAATGAAAATTAAAAATCACCGGACGCACATTCACTCGGTTAGTGTCGTGAAACATCGAGAAAATTTGTGRAACATAATGGTTTTCAGGCGAATATTATCAGCCTTTTGCTCAGCATTAATTTTTTATTAGATTCTTATTTAATAATAAAAACAATAGTATATGCAGTCCAGTGTTGGTGTATCAMAATTTTCTTGTTTAATGTTCATTCAAATTGATTAAAACATGCACTATTAAATCTAAATTGTATACTATATTGTTTTTATTTTTACTTCAACTTTCGAAAGTATTTGGTCAAATATATAGAATAATTAATAATTAATATTAATAATATTAGTTTTACGATGAAACTTTTTTAGTCTAAAAGCCAATCTTTTTTTAATTGAAAAAGTTTATCATATTTCAAAATTATTGTCAATTGTCAATGACTGCGCGTAGGTACGTAAATTAATTGACGATGAATATTATAATTTATAATAGTAACGACCGGCTGATCGATCAAGTTGAATTATGCGGGTCATCTGTTACAACTTGCAAAACTATTCCTGCACGAAATACACAGGTGAAATTTCATGATATCAATTTCATGGTACGGATAATGTACTATGTACATAATAATAAATAATATTAAATGTATTATTACAATAATATACACCAACCAGTGGGCACAGTGACCGACAAAATTGTTCAGTTGTTTTCTTTTGTAAATTCATTATTCACGTAACTTCATCAGGACATCAGTGATCAGCGTTCCATTGATTGTTATTCAGTAAACAGTGAAATACGTTTGGGCGGTTTTAAAAAAAATCGTCGGCCGACGACGAATATCGCGGCGAAATCGTATAGCCTCTCCAATTTAAACATATAGGTTTTCGACGACAGCGGAAATCGCCGTGTATAGCCCCAGCCTTATAGTACAGTGATGTTTAATACGACGACGGACGGATTCTAGAAAATGTTGACAGAAAACGATTACAGATTAAACTCACACACGCTTTTGTACGTTTACTTTGCACACACTTACAGCTTTACAAGTCACTTTAATAAAATAATGAATAATAAAATCATGTTAAATTGCCTATATCGATCTCCTTAAAACACGACCGACTGCAGTTATTCGTGTGTCAAACATCGGTTATGGACTTGATTACTTGAATGAATTATATTTCCCGATTTCTTCTGATTCGATTTTCATTATAGATATTCATTACGTAGGTAACGTATTCACTAATTCTGAGTTTATAAAACTGTACTCAAATCAACCATCGTGAATATCATTTTTTATTTGTTGAAAACTATTAAAAAAGTAGGTCAATAAATCTACAACCATTAACGCAATAGGTAATTTGTATATAGGTATTAATAATTTTATAATTAGGGTTAGGATGTTTATGACTTTTGCATATTTTTTCTTTTAATTGTACACATTGCAGACCCAATAATAAATTCGTTTTATAAGACATAGAATCAGATACATTGAATTTTATTTTGCATACTTTTGCATATTTAGGGATTTTTATGAATAAATGCATATTTTGAAGAAAAAAAACTAAATAAATGCATTTTTCGCTAAAAAATATCTTAAATATAATATRAATGATAAATCTCGATGCAAACCCATAGGTAGGAATTGTATGAAATTGAATACAGAACAATGAACATTGTACAACCAWTGGAAAATGTACCAAACCATGTAGGAGAAATTATTAAAAATAAAATGAAATGTGTTTTAAGCAAAAATCCGGATATCAAAATATTATTGAAAATTGCTGAAATACTTAATGGAAGTGAAACTTCAAAAGACAGTTTACCAGCTGAACTAACAGCAGATGAATGTGTATATTTTAAATATGCACCCATCACGTCTGTTGATGCTGAACAAAGTTTTTCGGCTTACAAAAGTGTGTTATCTGATAATCGACGCAAGTTTCTATTCGAAAACCTTAAAAAAAACCCTTATTGTTCAAATCAACWCAWGTATGTAAAAAAAATAACTAAAATTTTAATTCCAATCAATACACATTTTATGTATATTTGTATCTTTTTAGTAAAAACAAAATTATATATTAATTTACTGTAAGTACCTATATAAAATTTCAAAATCTCATATTTTTGTTTATTTTTATTCAAGTTTAAAGTTATAAAAATAGTTGTATATTAATTTAGAATACATTTTTGTTAAGTAATACAATTTTAAAATGGCATATTGAATGTTTTTAAGGGCATATTTTGATATTTATTGAGCATATTTGCRTGCATTTTTTAATGCTTTTAAGGTCATAAACATCCTAACCCTATTTATAATATAAAATCAACGATAATATAGATATTCAAATAAACTGTTTGTGATTAAACATACCAAATGTTACCAAGGTCTGAATTTATATCTGTTTCAAGATTGCTTTAAATACCTACTTTCATACATTGACAAAATAAGAGATTTGAATGTAACAATGAATTTTCTTACTTCGTATTTTTTTAATTTTTTTTTTTTTGTAGACACCGTGCATTTGTGCGCACAAAATTATTTTCATTATTACTATTAGTATCATTGTTGTTTTTTGTTTTTTACAAAAATACATAATTATATAATTCTGTTRACGATGAAAACTTTTGAAATAAATCATGACACATTTTTTTCCTTTCAAAAATCAAAATTAAATAATTGATACAGATACACATCATATTATAAAAACATTTAAGTAAATATATAATATTTCCGCGATGGTCAAATATGCAAAATGAGTTATTGCTGATTATATACCTAGTGCTAAAAAAAATTCATAAATTAAGTGTACTTAATAGTAAAATATGTGTTGACTTTGAGTATAGTAAAAAGTTATAACAGCTGTCAGCTCTTCATACTTCCAACAGTGTAATTATTTAGGTACTTTTATATAATATATTATTACATTGTTATGATTTCTACAGCATATCAAGTCAATGTTRTGCAAAATATACTATAAATATTTTCAAATGAGTTCTGCTACTTTTGATTTTCTGGTAGTATCAGTAGAATTCAATAATGATATATATTGAGACGTGAGCATGTGTTTTTCCAAGAAAAATGATAGCAGTAACTTAGAAGTTATTAAATAAAAAATAAAAAGTTTAAATTTTCTTAGTAAAAAAATCCTCTTTATTTTATTATTTTAATTYATACATTTATTTACTTGAAATGATAAAATATTAAATTATGATTTAATTAATTRCTTAACAACTTTGTACAAATATATTATTATATCTAATTATTTAAATATATATTATAAACTTAAATCATATATTCAAACAATCATTTTTCAAACAAACCTAAAACAACATTTAAGTATTAACAATTATTTTTTTATTAAATACATTTTTTTTTTCCTGATGGAAAAATGAAAAATAGCAGTATTATTCATAAATATATAAATACACGTGTATATATTTAAATTCATAATTAATCAATAAATAAACAAATAAACATTTCAATGTAATGGAGTTTAAAATAATAATCATAATGCATATATCAAAAAACATGCTTTACAAAAAAAATCACATAATTAATTAAATGAAATTACCATATATCCACTGGAATTTGAGAACACTATAGATAATTTACCTACATGAACTAATGAATATCCTGAAGTTAATTGTATAGACCTAACATAAACACGTTCTTTGACATCAAATATTTCATATGAATTATGATATGCCAATTTAACTAACAAATACCTATCATTTATAGGTGTTAGAGGTAAGAGACTTAATATTGAATCATTAGATATTTTTTGGATCCCTTCATATTGAAGCGATGTAATTGCTTTGAGGTCAAACTGAAATATACTTTGATTAAAATTATAATAAATATAATTTCTAGTAGAGTCAAATGAAAATGTATCACATTTAAGCCAAAACACATCCAAATGTAAATCATTTTGCTTTAAGATAAATGGAGTAACCACGTTAGAATAACCTGTGTTTTCTACTCCAATACAATTTTTGGTCACCTTAAACTGGGTAACAGGTCCTAACAAGCATATCTYTAATCCATTGTCTTGTGTTTTTCCTTTCAAGTGATAAACAATTGCCAAATGTTCCTTACTCAAATCATTTTCATTCTGAAAATTAAAACATAAACCATGTTAATTTGTTTCTTTTATAAGCCAAATAGTATATAATAAATAAATTAGCTTGTATAATAAAATAGTTAATATTAACTATCATAATGTAGCACTACAAAAGTTTAATTTWGATTCTAAAATATTCATAAGAACAGATTTATTTAAAAAATAGAAAAGAAATACTTATACTATAAAAAATATATTTTGTACTTAACAAAAGTATATATTTAAATAACTTTTTATTTAGCTTAAATCATATTGTATTTAATCTGTACTGTTATCTACTAAAATGTTATGATGAAGTTAGTTACAGTTGTATAGTTAAATGATATGCAAATATCCCTGAATACAATTTTTTGTTAAAATTAGAGATGGATCTTATTTAAAATAAATTTTTCATACATATTTATAATTCGGAATATTATAAGATTTAAWGTCTAAAAACCACTTGAAGCCAAACAGTACAATAGAAAWTTTTTTTAAATTTACCTTTTTTGTGATCCCAATCATGAGTCTATAATCTGAACATTTTATACTGTTGACAATGCATCCTCTTGAACTAAATTGCAGTTCTTTATATGTTTTTTCTGTTTTCAGATCAATTAAAAATAATGTACTAATTGCTGGATGCACAACTACTAGTTTATAATCATATAAATCAAATTTTGTATCACAATGATTATTCAAGAAGTCCTTGTTGAAATCATTTTCATCTAAGCCATAATTAACAGCTTTTTGTATCACTTTGAAAAATCTTTTGTCAAATGCACTATTCTTAATAGTATATACAAATATAATAGAACAAATTTCAATTACCAAGTATCTTTTGTTACCAATTACTTTGAGTGGATATTCTTTTAATTTAATTAATTCTTTTAATTTAGGAAACATTGGCAAAATTCTTTTATTTAATGGTTTATGTGGACCATTTAAAGTAACTATTTGAATTGGTTGTCTGTGATAGCGATTTATATTGATTATATAATCATCAGTACAATATGATTGTTCTACATATGGGCGAGGTATATAAATGGTAGGAAAATCATTGCTTTTTATACTCTTTAAAAGCATTAAATAATGATTAAAAGTTATCCAATGATTGCATAAAGGCCCAAATAATTTTTCTGAAGTTATTTCAGCATATCCTATGCATTCTGAATCATGCTTTAACCTATCGTTTAGACACCGGTTGTAATCAATGGCTCGTATATTTAAATCCTCACAAACCTTCGCCCATATCTCATCTTGGTTTAAATATACACATCGCCACCTCTTATTAACTAATTTCAAGTTCAGAATATCATTGAAGTCTAATTGTAGTACAATTTTATTTATGATTTCAAGTGGAAGTTGTTTAAAAATATCATACGATTCAGATCTAAAACAAAWAAAATATGTATACTATTAATAAAATTAGTAATTGTATAATAAATAATATATAGTTGGATTATTAGACATTTACATAGTATTATCAATTATAAACCATAATCATTAACTAAAAACTTTAAATCAATTAATTAAATTTATATATTAATTTGTTACATAGAATTGTTCTTTGTAATTAGCACTACATCTGATGGTAAAACATTATGTTTCATAATAAGGTTAGTTTATTATAATRAGATTTATCTGTCATACTTGCTTTCGGTTAATTACTTAAAAAAGAAAAATCAGAAAAATCAATTATAATAATAATTGCAATAGGTAAATTCTGATTTCAACAAAATGTTGACCATTTAAATACTAAATTCCCCAAAGATATAAGATTTTGGTATTTGAATTCAAAAACACAATTATAAAAGTATTTTTGAATTTAACTTACAAATGAAGTTTGAGCAACATTGTTTGAAAGTTCTATCAAATTGAGCATGAAAAAAACACATTTTGAATAAAAATTTAAAAAATCACTCGGGATCTAAACTGCATTTATTCCAAACAACTTACTTCTCTAACATATTAAGTGACATGCTTTTTGTTTTTACACCACCAATTTTCATACCATCTGTTTCAGTAATTATTGTACAATCAATATTGATATTGTCTGATTTGGTATTTTCACAATTAATATCCATGTTATCTAATTTTGCTGTGACATTATCAATAGTCATATTGTTTGATTATGTTTTTAACTATTGACACCTTGGATAAAATGTATGGATCTGAAAAAAAAAATACAAAATAGAAGTTACTCATTAATATACCAATGTATAATTATTATTTAATAGGAATTCTATAAATTAATTTTAATTATTGTGAAAAATTTATAAGAAAAGACAGAATCAAAATCATAAAAATACTAGTTATAAAATGTTTGATGATAAATAGTACTCTAATAGAAAAATTTTAAATGCTTTATTACGCTACATGCAAGTCAAACGAAGTCTAAGAATTATGAATATGGACAAAAAGAGTATTTATAAATTATAAGTAGTAAAAAAATTTAAAACATCACAAGTAAATGTGACATTATTATTCATTTTTAGATCAAGAATATGAATGAAGGAGCAATGTACAAAAAACATCGTGTCCGACATAATCCATCAGCTTTTCGACCAAGAGACAATGTTATTTACATTTTACGCTATTGCCTATTGGGTGCAAACTAACAAAAATTCAATGATAACATCGACCGGAACCTATTATATTACCTGAGACGTTAATAGAAAAAAATAAACACAATCCGATTACGCAATACACAATATTGTCAGAATGATATTCAGTTATGCACATTGCACATCAATCGACAATCACACGTGTATAATAAAATTGTGCAGGCACAATAAATTATGGGTATAGATATTAAATAGCAGCTACTAGGAACCTAATGAACCTACACCAATGTGATTTGTGTTGTGTCTTGTGTGACGTCAGATGTCGTTGAAACATTGATAAGTCCGACGACTTGTTGAACGGCATGCGACACCGATGACGATAACAACATTTACAAGTAAACGGTCAACAATAATGACGTTGATGACGGCAACGATGATAATAGCGTGTGTGAGAGATTACGTACTTGCATGTTACATGTTCTAAACGCTGTCAAACAGCAAAAASAGCGTTTAAAGCGCAAACAACAGACGCAACAATGAAATATTAAAACAATAAAGACGATTACTGTGCAATGTGCATCGTCAAATACCTTAGACAACCACCATAAGGGACGACTCCGATGAAAGAGGGTGATACATTTTATTCCCCGAAGACGTTGGGCAGCCTACTTAAATTTTTTTACGGCGTTTTACTAATGCTATTCCAAGTTTCTAATAATTTCTAATTCATGCATGTAATATAACCATATAAGTTAATAGATTAATAGATTATCGTATCATACCAAGGCTGTGAAATTTTTTAAAAACAATAAAAAATACAATTAATACTTATCTGTATTATTTAGTAATATAATTTTTGGGATCAACGACGACCAAGGATTCCTCAAATGGTCAATAAACAACCACCACGATTTTGTTTGGCGGGGGGATGCCTTTGTCGCAAACATCTAAACCTAAATAAATGACTGGAAGTGGACGACAGAAGCGCTATTGGTGGGCAGAGGATGTACACGAATTTTKAATTTCGAATGTATTTCTATAAAAAAAAAAATACTACCATACCAATATAACATAATAATTTTAATATCGAAGAATGTAGAAAATACCAAAAMACCAGAAAAAAATTAAACATAAGCCATGGCATTGGAGAAAGTCTAGGTCCAAATCCTGAAAACGAAACAAAAACGATACATTTCTTCAAACAATCTCAAATATTAAAGTTATTATAAGTTAACAACAACAACAATTTTGACATGTACATAATTATAGGACACAAACTGTCCAAAAATTTACATATTTATTTTGTATATTAAAATTAACAATTTTTTTTTCTTTCTTTCTAATTATATAAATTAATTTAACGCTAATGGCCTATAGCTGTTGAAGCGGAAATTCTTTGTAAATTTCAAGACCAATAAAAAAAAAAAATAATAATAATAATTTTAATAATCTTAAATATAGTAGGTAAATTATAAAAATGTGATCAACGATTTATCAGTTTACACTAATGTTTTTGTTTTTCATACTCTGCGACAACTACGATGGCTTGGCGAATCTAACCACCGACCACTGTGTACATTCTTTGAGTAGTTTGTRAAAATTTAATACATATACATAGTAGGTCATATAAAAATAATAAATTAAAATATAACTTACTGAAATTAAATTAACCAATCGTGGGTCTAGCAATGATAAATTAGAATGATGATTATGTTTTTCATAGAAAATCTATCATTCAGGATCTTAGTAATTCACGTAAATTGAGAGACACAATACTCGCATAATTGCCTTTACAATTTACATTAATATCATTATGCATTATGTAGCCAGTGGGTATTATTATTACAATGAACCTACCAAATCTGTAGGTTAGGTTATTATTATTATTATTATTATTATTATTATAACAAATCTTGCAATTATGTTACCCAGTGTTGGATAAGTTACTTTACTCATTACTAAGATAAAATTGTAATGAAATTACTTTTAAAATTGAAAAAAATAATAATAAAAATAAACAACAATAAATAATAAAATTAATAAATTGTATACAGTGCATTTATTTCACAACTATGTAAGTGTTTAGGTACCTATAGTTTATACTTTTTAATAATAATTAGTTAGGAATATTAATTAGTTAATTAGGAATGTATAAAAATTCAAAATATGCTATATGTAAGTAAATCTAATTTTTAATAWTTTTTTGATTTCAAAAACATTTATTTATGACATTTAGTTTTTTTTTAAATAATAACTTTAAAAAGATATTTAGATTTTAACATGTATAGGTACTTATTCAAAGTTCTTTGAACTTTTGATCCCCCCAAAGTACCAACTGATGACAGACACAAAAATTTAAAAAAAAAACATACATCATTGTAAAATCAATGCATTATTTCTCACTTATTCGTTCAAAATCTAAAACAATTTTTTTGAATATTGATAAGAAAAATCTTTTTCATTTGTCAGGTCATCCTGTTACACTCTTTATATAATATGTATAATCAATGATTCTATTGTACAATAATTTATAATTATTAAAATATAATCGTAGTTTAAATTGTACTATATTATTCATCAATAAATTCATCAGTAAAATATAGACATATATATATAGCATACACAATCACTTATTTAGTACTCAGATTTCAAATCCTAGAATAGGTATAGAATGTACAATTTACATATATTCTTAAAACAATTAATTTAACCAAAATTATTCCTGAACATTTATTTGAACATATTCACAATTGAAAACAATTTATTTTGTAATTCGCTAAAGTAGGTAAACTTATGGCGGTAAATCTGAACATAATATTCTGAATTCAGAATATATTAAGTGAATAGTGATAAGCACTATATTTTACTAGATCAGTGGTTCATAAAATAAATTAAAAACGGCAAACATAGATAAATATAAAATATCAAAATTATGGTTATAACTTATAACAAAGATTATTATTACCCACGGTCTTGTTTTACCTATAAATTTAGTTTTTAAGTTTCAGTTTATCAATGCTTACTATATCGATGAAAAATGTATTCGTAGCATATGATATTCGGAACAATGTGTTCGATACATAATTATTGTATCGTGATTTACTGATTTGTGACTGTGAATTATATTTTATTGTAGCAGTGAAATCACGATGTAGAGAAGATATCTTCTCTAAATCGTGACTCGTGAGTAAAGTTGTAGCAAATTGAGTTACTCGAGAACTTTTGAAGTACATGATATTATGCGACGTTCACGATAGTTCAGTGAACTGTGAAATTAGAATATTAGCGACTTTACAAATTTATGCTACTTAACAATATTGATAAAAATTTTGTTTTATATTTATAAAAAACCACTCGCTTGATACACAGACTATATGAAATATTTTAAATTCTGTGCTTGATATTTCATCTATTCTGTGTTTATACCATAGACATATAAATATATATATACATATTTATATGTCTATGGTTTATACCACCGAACAATACTGATAAAAATTTTGTTTTGTAGATAACCACTCAATTGATAAAGAAAAAAGCGCTACTGCCTACAGTGCCTATAAAGTTGTTGATACTAAACAGTAAACACTAAACAGACCGAGTGTCCATAACTTATAAGCACCTACAACTACTTCTAAGCTTTTACTGTAGACTCAAAAAAAAGTATTACTACTTAATAGTTATTCTTTARATAAAATATTTCTAATATTTGTTGTGTAGTAAAATTAGCCTGTTTAATTTMTTCGATTATAAACAAATTTCAGGTACCTATCTATTTCATTTAACTTAATGTTCATTGACATGCTTAAAACTAAAATATTGTTTTTAGGATATTATTAGAATAATTATTGTATTCACGATGGAAAATAAAAAAAAGCAAGTCAAAATGTAAGAATTGAATTTATATTTAATTCTGTGTTAATTTTTAATTGTTAAAATCACTTTTATGTACACAGATTGGTTTGCTGCGGTATCAAAGGACATATAACATCATTCATTGACCATATAGAATCATTGTTTGCAAAAAAAGGCATGTTTGACTATGTGTTTTGCGTAGGTGATTTTTTTGGGGACGATGTATCCTCTGAAAAAGAATGGGAAGAGTTTAAAAAGTCTGGAAAATATAGTAAGGCAACCATATTATTTATTTGAATGAATTTAAAGTTTTTTTTTTTAAGTTTCAGTTCCAATATATACATTGGGACCAAATAAAATACAACATGAAAAATATTTCAATAATTTAAAAGATCAACAATTAGCACCAAATATTTATTATCTTGGTTGGTAAAATTTTGCTATTTTAATAAATGGTTATATTAACATAATGTTTCATATCATGTATATGATTCTCTTTTTTAAATTAGGGAAATATTTTTTATGTTTTATGTGTTTATTAGGTAAAGATGGAATTTTTACAACTTCTGATGGACTTAAAATAGGATATATTAGTGGGATACAAAACAATAGTAGTAAGGAAAATGAAATTCATACATTCAATTATGATTCTCTTTCTCAGTTCAGAGATTCTTGTATTCGAGCTGGAAGTACGTCTTTAGATGTACTATTAACTTCACCGTGGCCAGTAGACATTCGCAACAAAGAGCGAATTCTTGAAGTAGAAACTATTATTTAAACAATACTATAATAATTAGTAATGTATGAAACAATTTCATGAATATTTATAAATATTTTATCTATAGAACATCAGTGTTAAGGAACCAACTGAAAAAGAAAGTGAATCTCAATTGTTATCATGGGTGGCTATTCATTTAACTCCACGCTATCACTTTGCTGGATTGCAACAAGTGTTTTATCAGCGTAGTCCATACAAGTATGTTATTTTTTATTTTTTATTTTGAATTAATAATAAAAATAATTTTGGCTCTATAGAAATACCAATAGTAAAACAGTAACACGATTTATTGGTTTGGGTGATTATCATGATAATAAAACAAARAAACAAAAATGGTTGTATGGCTTTGTTTTATCACCAGCAGAACTTACTACACCAAATACAAATGACTTTACTGTCACCGAATCACCATATGCTGATAATATATCTCAGTATACTGCTAATATGTTGCCAGTTTCCAAACAGTATTTTTATAATACAAGCACTAACACCAATTATAAAAATAATAATCAAAATAAAAAGAGAAAATTTGATGGACAACCAGTCAGACAATGTCAGTCAAATTTATTTATCAATTTTAACAACTTTTGGTTGTACACCTGAGATATAATAGTTTTGATGTATTTTTTTACAGCAATTGATATAAGCGCAGATTCTTGTTGGTTTTGTTTGTCAAGTAAAAACATTACCAAGCATTTGATTATATCTATTGGAAATCAGGTATTCAGTAATTTATTATTTTTACTTATGTTCTAACCAATTAATATTTGTATAATATAAACTAATTTGTTTAAGGTATATTTATCAGGCACTAAGGGTCCGTTAGTCAAAGAACACATACTAGTAGCTCCAATTGAACATTACAAATCACTTGCTGAAGTACCACCAGAAACAGAAAATGAAATAAATCTGTAATTATTAATTATTTTCTTCTTTTAAGTTTTAATCCAATGTTCATCAATCTGTGATGCATGGAAATCTTATCTGTGGTTCACTAAGAAAATTTTGTTTCATGAAAAAACCGTAATGGATCATTATTCACATTAAAATATATAACTTACATAATTTCATATCAATAATGGTTGTGAATATTTCATTTTCCATTAATTTTGCATTTAACACTTAAACAATCATGGTTTTTTAGTTCCTTGAGAAATAATATTCTATACATGTAAGACAGGCATGTCAAACTCAAAGTATCAAATATGTATTAAGAAGCTTAGCTATACGGGCCTACAAATTGCACAAAAATAAATATTTAAGAAAATTCTTAAACTATATTTCGATTCCAGTTTATCAGAAGATAGTTTAATAATGTGTACCAAATAAATCATTACCTAAGAATCTAAGATAGTTGTGACATAGCATTAATATTTTATTTTTTTATTATCATATTATGTTTTTGTTCATTAATATTGATAGCCACGAGTCACAAAAAATTGAGCTGAGGGCGACGTGTTTGACATGCCTGATGTAAAATGACGTTTACATTTTTKATCAAAAAAAAAACGTGATTTGGTTAAGTGGTACAGAAACATTTTCAAACTGTGTATGTGGTGTACATATATAAAAAGGTTGATCACCACTGTTTTACTATTAACCATTTTAAAATTTTGAAATTTMAATTTTTAATTTAAATAAAATTACAATTGATTTGAATTTTCGTTACAGGATTAAAAGTTCTTTAAATCAGTATTTTGAAAGCACAGGTCGTGTAGCAGTTTATTTTGAACGTAATATTTTATCTGCTCATTTTCAATTGCAAGTGGTTCCAGTTCCTATCAGAAAGGCAGATCATCTTGAGGATATGTTTAAAGTAACTAAAAATAATATATATTATAATAACAATTATTATTTATAAGTTTATAACTCGTATTATGTTTAATATATTAACATTAAATAGGCTAAATTTAAAGAATATGATCTCAGTTTGGTAGACATTCCACCAGCCGCATCGTTACGCCAAATAGCTGGGAATACGGAAGGCCATTACTTTTGTACAGAGTTGCCAAACGGAAAACGTTTATTTCATAGTGCTGCCAAAAAAATTGGTCATAGTCAAAAATTTCCAATTCATATTGCAAGGTATGTTATAAATTATTAATTTAAGTGTTTTAAATGCATTAATGAAGTGAACTATTTATTTGTTTTTAGAGAAGTGTTGGCGTCTCCAAGACTATTGAATGTTGAAAGTCGTATTGACTGGAGAAAATGTGAGCAATCTTTAGATGAAGAAGAAAATGATGTAAAAATGTTCCGTGATGCTTTTGAACCTTTTAATCCTATAAAAGATTAATTAATAACTGATTTTAATCATGATTACTATCAATAATATTTTTTATTTTATAAATGGATTAAAAAATATGATAATTCAAAAGTATTAGATGTAAAGTGAATTTTTAAAAATAGTTAATATAATATTATGATAGAAAATGATCAAGTGTTAGAAATATTGAAAGCAAAAAAAAAAATAAAAATAATTTCTAACATTTATGAAGTATGTAAATATTATGTAATCTATTATTTTGATAATATAACACTAAATGATATATGATGTAATATTTAAAACATTATGATTTAATATTATCAAATACCTTTCGBCACATCAATCTAAGAAGATAAAGTATGAAAAATGTATCAGCAATGCTAATTTTGGTGAGGTGTGTAAAAAAGATACAAGTTTTTAATRATTAATTATCAACCATATGTATAATGAATACTCTGAACTTTTAATTGTGGTGAAATAACTTTGGATTTCGCAGGGTTTGTCATAAATCGCAACTTTATTTACCCTATGATTTTCTTAAATAACTAAGTGAATCTAAATTAATTTTTACTTAAAACAAACTACAAAAAGATTTTTAATTTTCAAGAGACCAACATTTTTAATTTATTTTTAATTATCAAATGTTAGGAATATCAAGGGATGGCTGTAAAATATTTTTTTAATTTGTTTTTAACAGAGAACAAACAGTTTAGAAAATATAACAATTTTGGTACAAGATCTCCTATTGAATAATATAATTACATAATTAAATATTGCGAATCTAATATGATTATTGAATTATTTTGTAGCCTCAATCGGTGGCTCGTTTCTCATAACTATCGATACTCTTCGTTCCCGTACAATCTGTCTATCACTGAACACAGTTGGTGCTCCATCACTTAATATTTCATGTGTGTACTGGTATCGAGCTGAATCCCTGTTAAAAGTTTAATTAAAAATAAGAATTAATATTAAATACAGAATAAATTGAGTTTGTAAATTTTTTGATTGACATTTTTCATGAAGTAATAAGGACCCAAAATGATTTATTTAAATTCTGCAGAATGATAAATGTCAATAAACGAAATATTGAACTGTTCACAATTTAGAAGAATATTACTATGATCTATGAGAATTTTTAAACGTATGTTAAAACTAAAATTAAATTAAGATCAATATTAGGATATAAATTTGAATTTGTTACGTAATTTATGAATATTCAAACACATTAAATTTAATCAATTTACATATATTTTTAAATATCAACAGAATAAATAGTTAGATTAATTTTTAATTTATCTTTCAATAGCTTTACTGCTTACAATCAACCTATTACCTATTAAAACAAAATGATATCAATGCGAAAAGTTTATATTTTATGTAAATAAAAATGAAACAAGGATATTAAACCTAATATAAAATATGATGTAAGACTTACTTCATAATATATAATGATCGGCGAGGTAATAAAGCATATACTACATAGGTGTCTGGACATTTTTCATCAGCTAAACGCATAACAGAGTCAGATAGTAAGCTCAAGCCAGCTATTATATTGCCACAGAACTATTTAACAAAACATAAATGATATATTGTACATTATGTTCAACAATTATTTTTGTTAAACTAAAAAAAAATAGTTGTAGGTATCATTTGATATATTTTCATTGTAAAAAAGAAATTATTCATTCATTTAAAAATGTAAGAAAATCAAATGTTTAATACTTACTCGTACACTATCTATATGTGGTTTTACATAACCGTTGTTGCATAAATCGAGTATATGAACTCTCTGCATTTGTTCTGTGATTGATTCATTAGCAAATACTCTATTTTTGAGCTTTTGTATCACATTTGAATTGTTTTGATCTTTCCAAGTGATGATTTCAGTTTCTCTGTATCCATGTATAGCCTAAGTTAATAAATATTTGTTTATTTACATATAGTTAATTTAAATAAATTATGAAAAATAAAATATGCTTACATCATCCCAATGATCATGTTGATAACGTAGACGTTTTAATGATTTTTCTATTTCATCAATCAGTCGTGACTCTTCATCAACAGACACAATGTCTGGCACAATGGTAAATGAAGAATCAAATTGTTGTCGTTTAATGTTAACTAAATTAYTTGTGCTTTCTGGAAATTTATATCTTACATATTCACTTTTATCGACAGATTTTATAATACGTTCAATTGATGAAGATGATGTGCTAAACAATTCATTTAAATGAAACAGACGAGATGCAGAGAACAGCTGKTTGAAGACAAATTCTTTACAAGCCAAATTCACCATGAACATCTTGTTAAAATATATGAGATTATTCAAAAAAAATTATTTTTAATTGTCAATCAATGTTTCCAATTTTTCACTCAATAAAATAACACAAAATACAGTGTAAAAAATACAATAATCAGCTAAGATTAGATAAGTTCCTGTGATCCCGTATCATCAATCGTCCGTGTGCAATAATAACTTTTTTTCTCTTTATCTGTCTCAACCACGTACAAACAAAATAGTGAACTACCTAAAAGACTTGTCAAAATACCATGATGGTTGTCATTATAATACCATATCTATAGACTACAGTACCATTTTTAATGTTCGATCAGAGGAAGGAACCATTATATTGTACTACTAATAACGGTACAATAGTCGATGATATTATACAGCATCCATTCATAATTATTAAAGTAATAACTGAAGAGTAAGTTGTGTGTAGTATGCTAGTTTGAGGAGTTTTAATAATTTTATGAAAATATTAAATAATGACTATRTTTAGGATACGTTAAACGTTTGTCATTGTCAATTGTCATATCTTGCTCTTATATAATCTGGATTGGTCTGATAAGGTGTAAAGTGTAAACACTTGGCATATCTGCAGTATATATTGCATTATATAAAAAAGTTAACCATTAGATGACGTTAAATTCCCGATACCGATAGTGGATACGACTGTATATATATATATAGTGACATAAGCCAAGTGAGAATACTAATTAAATTTGCCACACAACATTCAATAATAATATTACAAAAATTCACATAATTCACAAATAACTTATTTCTAAAATATTATTAAAAATGTAATATGTAATAATAATAATAATATGTTTACCTTATGGCTTATAATTATGAATTATGATTTATGATATGATAATTATGAATTCTAAAATAATAATTTAGTATTATCTCAAATCGTGTAAGATCTATATAATTATCGCATTATCATTGTAATATTGTTATCACGGACATTTATTGCACATGCGCAATGCAAAATTTTTTTTGAAAAAATTAATTTTAATAACTGTTTGACATATAGTTACCACAGATCTATATCTGTGATAGTTACTTTATATTCAATATTCATTTTCATTATTCAATATGTCAACTAGAAGCCAAAACGCAATGAGTTTCTCAGAGGTAAAAACTGTTTTAAAATATTCATGGATTTTATTTACAAATTWATACATTTACATAGTAATGCTATTTTATTATACTTTAGGAAGTACAGTGGCACTCTGTTCATAATGTTCATACATTAGTTTTTAGATCACTCAAAAAGGACTCATGATATGTTTTTATCATGTCAAAGGATGCTTCCACCACAATAGATGAAGAAGCATAAATTGATTTGTGCACTGTAATGTAATGAAACAATGTTTTTAATTTTTTTTTATTGTTTGTGTATAGGGAGAACTGGGAGAAGATTAAAAAAAACTCTTTAAAGCTCGAAATTGTTATGGTCTGGTTTTTGACAAAGTGGAACAAAATAAGATAAACATAAAGAAATCTCAACTAGGTAAGTCATCCTAAATCAGAGAGCCTTGATATTTATAAGGATAATMATCTTCCATTAGCCATAAGTAACGATGCATTATTACTGTTTAGGTATTAATTATTTTATTATATTTTATTTTTTAGCTGATAATCCTGAGAAATTAAATAAAAACACAGAGAAAAGTATGGTTTTATTGAGTCTAAGTACACAAAACATAGCTGCTGCTAATCAACTGATTAATCATATTATGCCAAAACCAAAATGGCATCCTCCAYGGTCCACAAAAGTTATACGGAGTAATTATACTGGGTTAAKTGTGCTGTGTTACTGWAGTGAATGGTAATGAATGATTTGCTACTGATGCTGCTGATTGAGTTATTAAAGTAATACTACAAAAMAATTTCATGATATATAATATCTATTTGTATTTGATATATTTTTTTGGTTTTAGATTTGGGATTYAGCTACTGGAAAATTAAAACTTTCCTTAACTRGTATGTAAGTAGTGTGCGAGGCTTACAAGTAAGTCCTAGACACCCTTATTTATTCAGTTGTGGTAAAGATAGGCAAGTGAAATGTTGGGATTTGGAACATAATAAAGTAGTTTGACATWATCATGGACATTTGAGTGCTGTWTATAGTCTTATGTTACATCCAACAATTGATGTATTGTTAACTGCTAGACGAGATTCAACAGCTTGAGTATAGAACATGCGTACAATGTACAAAAGCCAATGTTCACACACTTACTGGATATACAAATACGGTGGCCAGTGTTGTTACCCATGACTTTGAACCTCAAGTATAAAAGTTTAAATAAGTTATTTATTTAACATTTAAAAAAATGAATTTTGATTTAATATTTTTGGCTTATASTTAGGTAATGACTGGATCTCATGACTGTACAATTAGACTATGGGATATAGCTGTTGGAAAGACTCGTGCAACGGTGCAACTCTTACAAATCACAAAAAAGGTGTGAGATCACTAGTTTTACATCCGAAAGTGTGAGTTTTAAATATTATTTAACATTTACAGAACCATTATGATTTACTTAATTGCTTGTTGCTATGTGATTTTAAGGTACATTTTGGCCAGCGCTAGTCCAGAYAATATAAAAMAATGGACATGTCYAGATGGTAAATTTATACAAAATCTTACTGGTCAWAATTSTATAGTTAACTGCWTGTATGGCTGTGAATTCTGTGGGGTGTTGATGTCTGAAGCAAATAATGGATCAATGTATGCTTAKGATTGGAGAACTGGTTATAATTTTCAGAGGATGCAGGTATGTAAATTCGATATATTATGTTATACACACTGTAAATTATTTTTATTGATTGCTTATATTAAAATATGTATTATTTAAAAAGACTCTTGTACAACCTGGATCAATGGATAGTGAAGCTRGAGTATTTGTTATGGCATTTGATAACAGTGKTACAAGACTTATTACAGCAGAAGYTGATAAAACTATAAAACTTTATCAAGAAGAYRATATTGCTGTAAGTATTTGCTAGTACGTCAATAATAAACTATTTTTTTACTTTATTTAAAATGACATTACTATCTTTATTTTCATATATTTTGTTCTATAATACTAAAACATTTATAAATTTATTACAATACATTTTGATATAATATTTTTTTTTTTTAAATTCAAATGCTTTACTAACAAATAATATTAATCTATTTCAATGATTAGTTATATTTTTATGATAATCATATTTTAAAACTTGTTAATTTGTTATAACTTATAACGTTTAAATAAATTCAAAAGTTTGAATAAGATATAAGGTAAATCTATTCCAAAAAAAGATTCATTTTTCAGTTTTTCTTGAATGTTTCCAATTTAATATCTTATTGGATATCTGAAAATTTTTTTAAATAAATTCTTTATGCAAATAATTATAGTTGTTTCATCATTTGACAAAAATAATTTATATTTATATAATTACAAAATGTGCTTAGTTAGAACTACCTAATTAAAYTTTATAGGTTCAAAAATAATTATATTTTTGTGTTTGTTTTAGATTGAAGAAAGTCATCCAATTAATTGGAAGCTCGATATAATCCGAAGAAGGAAATATTAATTTTTTGTAAAATATTAATTTTTTAAAATTATTGACACAAATGAATATATCATTTTTAAACGATATTATTACCGGCAAAATGATTTTAATTCTATTTTATTCTTTTTTTTAAAAAAAAGAAGAAAGGTTCATGAAATTCATATTTTATCTTTCATAAAACCCATAATGAAATGTTTATGGTTTTGCAACGAGTTATAACTTTTCTTAATTACTAGTGTATAGTATACATTGGAACTGCAAGCTGTAAAATATTCAAAAATACTATTATAGTAAATTAGTTTCAATTTTGTTAAATATTATTTGTAGAGTTTGGAATTAAAATAGTTCTCAAGAACTCCTAATGAACTCTTAGTTATAAACATTTTGGTGATTAATAATAATTAATAAAAAAAAATTAGTYTCCCAAGCAGTTTCAATTATTATGGACAAATCTGATCACAATAAATGCATTTTTAATGTATAAGACTGCATACATTAAGAACWTGACCAGTTTAAAATTAAACAAAAAAAAATATACTAATTTAATATCACAGTTTTTAAATACTTTTTTCGTACCTACGKCCAGCAATCAATAATATTATTAAATTATTGYTGAGAATCATAGTTATAAACAGTGGCACCAAAATGTATTTATTAATACATATTAATTAATTATCTATGGCAATTGCCATAGTTGATTTTAGTAGGTAGGGGGATCACCTTTATTATTCTAAATATTTKATGATAACAATTATTGTATTTTATACAATACAATTAATTGTGAACTAGAAGTCAATAATATTACATTAAAACTATACTTAGTATATGGTAAGGTTATTATAAGAAATTAAGAAATAAATAGGTGGGTGTCAAATATTTATTTGGAGGTGTCTAATGCCATAGGTAAAATGTTGGACTTTGGCACCACTGGTTATAAAATATATTTTACTTAAAAATAAAAAATAATTTGCTCTGACGAAAATTCGAAATAGCCGTAACTTGGATTATAGTATCAATATAGACATTAAAGTTAGTTTAAATCAGCATTAGTTTGAACAAAAATCAATGTACTTAGATTTATAAAAATGGAAGTTGTTTAATTCTATTAATCAAACAACTAATTGTTTTATTAAATGTAAGAACATTTGTTATTACATGTAAAAAAAATGGTATGATTGGAAATTCAAAAAATACATTTTGTAGTAATATGATAGTATTATAAGGCAGTATCATTACTCATGACATGATTTTTCGATTGACATTTGTCAAATGTTGAACTATCAATAGGGACAATCAATAAAATAATTAAGAAATATCTAAGATTTAAAATAATTATAGTATTATTTAAGATGATTAATAGAAAAATTATTTTCACTAAATATGTATAATCTTTCTAGCCCATTTTTGATTATCTGTATGTTAATAACCACCAAATCTGAATTAATAACTTAAGTATAATAGGGCCATTAAATATTGACTTAAAAAAAAGTATTACTCAAAACTGGGTACATATTAGTCATATTACATATATCAAGTACCTAATACCATTTGATAAAATATCTATTGGAGACTAGAACCAACACAGGTTGATTAGTAAACTAGTTAACATAACAGTTATTGATTAATTTTCATGACTCATGAGTCATGAGGTTATTTATTTGAAAATATCCAAATAGTAATTACTTGACCATGTAAATAATGTTCAAAACTAATTAATAAAGTCAACACCTCTCGGGTTAGGTAAGTTAGGTAGTCCCGAAATTTGATTTATTGAAATAACATACCAGAGTCCGCGCGTCCGTGGCTAAAACCAAAAAAACAACTTACTTCACTTATTTCATAATTACGCTTACGCTTACGCCTGAGAAAGCTTTGAGACGTGTCCAATTCCAATATTGTAATTATTAAGAATAATATATGTCATAACTAGAGGTGCGCGCCGATCCTCCTACATATTTTTTCTAGAATTTATCCTCAACCCCCATATAAAATTCCAGAGGACGCCACTGCATTATGTCATAACTCATAATATATACTAAGTATTCACATTTCGCGTTTATGAATCTTATGAATATACCGATTTCAAAAGTTAGTAATTTTTGCAGACTTGCTGTAAAATTGTACATAAATACATAATATATTATATAATTATGTAATTTATATATATTTATAATATAGATTTTAAAATGTATTATTTACTTTTTGTGAGCATTATACATAATGATCTATTGATCTAAGGTGATATTATAGTTTTGGTTTGGGCCAGGAGTATCACTGATACAGGGTGTTATAAACCAAGTTTCACCCAGGGCTCCCATTTGCAATTTATGATCCAGGCCCCAATTACCACTGTCGGATTCTTCCTTAAATTTAACTATCATTGTAATCTTTCTTAATATTATAGTAAATTAAAAATAATATACGTTTATCTGATGAATAAAGGGCCGTGTAACAAAAATAGGCAGTCCGCCTTTGGTTTGACGTAGGTAATCGAAATATTACTTTAAGCTTTAGGGAATATTTATTGCAAGTTCAAAGTCGAACAAAAGAATAGGTATTAAACAAAAAAACTTGTATGGGCTAGATTGGTTTGTTAATTACTTGTAAATCTGTGGATTCGTCATATTGACGTAATAAAATACATGACTAATTAATGATATTATAATTATTATAATAATATACTACATTTTTATTTAGTCATGATTTATTATCCAGGTCTGTACTGACCCACCGGATAGCACGATGCACCCTATAAAAATTGCAATGGATAAGGCGTCCCCATTCATAAAAATTATGTTCACATTAAGGTTTGAAAGAAATTAATTTTTTTCTGTAAAAACTAAACAGTTGAAATTTAAAGTTTTATACCGGGCCATCTAGGTAATACATTCTCTATGAAATATGTACGC